AACAGATATAAACTACAGGTGACATATACAATTAGATATATTTACATCAAGTGCCTCTTGTGAATACAGGATGGATAAATTACAGAAATAATAATAATACACTGTACAGAAAGTTCAAGGTAAACTACTGTTATCTACATAACTGTAAGGAAAGTATCGTATCACTGTACAGAAACTGTTCCTCTCACTCCAAATTCCTATTATTCACATTGATTAAGTGCTTCCCCATTTCAGGACTAAAAACAAAGATAGAAATTATGGAAACCTCTCAGCAAAACAAAACATCAAGATAATTTTGCTGGTGTTGATTACAGTACTGATTCAGATCATGTTCTCACTATGCTATAAACACAACAAATACGATGAAAAAAAAGATCAAAACTGCAAATATTTTGATCATTAACCAACGATTTGATGTGACGGACTGGAAGTACTTCAGTATCTCTGAGTGGGCTGCCTCAACATTCAGTTGGGTATCTTCAACATTTGTATCAATTCTGTAGATAATAAAATCATAATACAAGTTAAATATAAACCTTTTCTTCTTAGGACACAGGAAAATTCGGAGACCTGTCTAACGAAATACAAATTTTTTTTGTCAATTTGTTGATATAGCCACAAAAGTTAATTTAATTTAAACTAAAATTTGTTATGATGATAGAACAAACAAATATTTAAAAAAATTGCTACTCTAACCTTTGAACCATTTCCTCTTGTTCTTTAACCATCTGGGCTAACTGCTGGAATATAGAACCCAATTCAACAATGGTAGACTCTATGTTTTGCATTGTATCAGCTCTACTCTGGATGTAGGCATCCTAAGTTTCAGAAGAAAAAAAAAATCAATATTCTTTAGCAGATTAAAACATAAGTATTTTTCAAAATTCAAAGTTGCTTAAGCCAAAGTATTACATGCTGTACTTGAAAAGCCTTATTTAACTACACGCTATATATATATCCTTGTGTCAGTTTGCATAGTAACTCAACATGTGGCTTTCTTCACAACTGATGTACAATGTATTGACACATTTTAGTATGAGTGACTTAGGTAAATTAAAGGTGTAAACTTTAAATGATGTATAATGAACTCCACTGGTTCTATCTGAGAATGTGAATTGTTCTAATTCTAAGCCTTCCTAATGGAAACTATTAAGAAACAAAAAATATTATGATAATAAAGCAAAACACAAACATAATAATATGAAGCATTTAATAAATATTTTTCTACTTTTTGTAGTCAAATTCTATACTTATTACGTATTACATATATCATATTTCTGTTGTAATTACAATTGTGTTCGTTTTGTACCTCTAGGTTACTGAAGATGGAATTTTGAAGATTCCAAAACATTTAATAAATGCTCCATATTATTACATTTGTGTCTTGCTTTATTATCAATTTACATTTTCTTAAAATAACCTGAACGTTGACTCGAATTTAAACAGACGCGCTGTCAATTTTCCTTGGATAGACAATACTCAAAGTTGTCCTTATCTTTTATAAGCTCTATAAAGCTTTTAATTTTTCATGGAAATTAATGAAGTTGGCACTATATTGATAAACTTTTAACTTTACCCTTCAATAACAGCAATTAAAGCATGCTGTATATACTTTTTGTAATAATATCCTGAACCACTTACCTATTGCTTGCACCTCTAGCAAAACAAATGATTTTAAAACATACTGACCTTTTATGTTACATTCACAAAGAAAATGATTCAAAGGTTTTCAATGAATCAATAAACATGTTCATTAACTTATTTTGTACATTGGTGAAGCTCATGATGACAAAATAAGAGAATTTTACAGTAAGAAAAAAAAATGGCTTTATTTATTGCATCTGTAACAGAAAACTAAGTGTGGTATGCAGATGACATGTTTATAAGTTTGATTATAAATATATACTCTACATCTAGTTGTAATGTAACATTTTTGGTGGGTTAATATTAAATGCTTCTTTAACTCCTGTTGGCAAATCCTAAGCAATTATTGAAACTGACAGGAGATATCATGGTTTTTGAACTCTTAAGCTTTGCTGATTTTCATATCCAGGCAGTAAGAAAAAATATAACTTAATACTATTCTGTAGCTCTAAATGATAGTAGTTTTATTATTGTTGTCATTATTACATATCCACTTTTTATGTACTCATCAGTGAAAATAAGAATCTTGGGCTAAGTTTTTCTTTAGTAAGTGAATCTTGCATATTTCTAACTTTGTTCCCAGGACGTACATTATCCCTCAAATATTTCTAACACAATGAGGTTCCAATAGTGAGTTGCCTGGATTAAATAGTGCAACACAGATCAAATAGTTGACTGGATTAAATAGTGCAACACTGGTCAAATAGTTGACAGGATTAAATAGTGCAACACTGGTCAAATAGTTGAC